TTCATCACTATTTCAATAAATGTGGGGGACATTTGTTCTTTGTCTGCTCAGCACCAGTTTTTTCTCTTTGGAAATAGCATCCCCTTCCTTCAAGGAACGTCTCCTTCCCATCCCAGTCCTGCTAACTAGAGTACCCCACCTCCTATCCTCATACCAAGAGTAAGCATGTGACTGAAGCCTGGCCAATCCTAGGACCATCCTCCTGGCCCCAACTGGTGGCCCACAGATAGACGTATGACCCACACCAGGCTAACCAAATCCTTCTCTAGGGTTTTTTCTAAGTAAAACTGTAGAGAAAGTGCTCTGTCCGACCAGGGCCACAAAACTACATAGAGCTCTAGGGTTGTAGGTGGCCATGTTTTTAGCCTCAAGAAGAAAGCCATAGGAAAGGTAACACTCATAGAAAAGCAGAGAGAAATATATATACTGTGTATATAATAGAATATTACTCAGCCATAAAAAAGAATGAAATCTTGCCATTTGCAACAACATGGATGGACTGAGAGGGTATTTTGCTAAGTGAAATAAGTCAGACAGAGGAAGACAAGTATCATATGATTTTACTTAATGTGGAATCTAGAAAACAAACAAACACACAAAATAAAACAGAAAGGGACTCATAGATATAAGAAACAAACTGTTGGTTCCTAAAGGGGAAGGGGTTGGGGGCTGGCAAAATAGGTGAAGGGGATCAAGAGGTACAAACTTTCGTTTATAAAATAAATAAGTCATGGAGATGTGATGTATAGCCTAAGGAATATAGTCAACAATTTGTAATAACTTTGTATGGTGACAGGTGGTAATGACTCATGGTGGGGAATCATTTCATGATGTATAAAAATACTGAATCGAGGAGCACCTAGTCGGCTGAGCATCAGTTTCGGCTCCAGTCATGATATCACCGTTTGTGGGATTGAGCCTCCAGTCGGGCTCCATGCTCAGCGGAGAGTCTGTTTGGGATTCTCTCTCCCTCTCCCTCTGCCCCGTACTCACTAGCTCTCTCTCTTTCTCTAAAATAAATAAATAAATCTTAAAAAAAATACTGGATCCCTGATATACACCAGAAGTGTACAGGATATTGTATGTCAGTTATACTTCAATATTTTTTATACTTCCATTTTTAAAAATTAATTTATAAAAAGAGGGGCACCTGGATGGCTCAGTTGGTTAAGCATCTGCCTTTGGCTCAGGTCATGATCCCAGGGTCCTGGGATTGAGCCCCACGTAGGGTTCCCTGCTCGGTGGGGAGTCGGCTTCTCCCCAATTCCCCCTGCTCATGCGCGCTCTCTCTCTCTCTCTGTGCTCTCTCTTTCTCAAATAAATAAAATCTTTAAAAAAAAAAGAGAGAGAGAAAGAGTCCCGGGTGTGTGAGGTCCATGGTGCCTAGTCCTGGAGAGCCCTGGAGAGCTGCCTGATTCCCGGATGTCTTTCCTTTGATTCTATGACTTCCTCCTTCCCACAAGTCCCCTTTGTGCTCAAGCGAAGTTCAAGGTGAATTTCTTTTATTGGCAGTAAAAACAGCCCTGACAAATGCAATAGGACATTAGTAGTCTTCTGTGGCACTTGGCTAACAATCGGTGCTTTCCAAACTTATAAAGAGGGTTATGGAAGAGAGTAATTTTTACTCTTGTGAGATATGATCATTAGTGTCTTATTTAATACTATGTGGCTTTAAAGGAATAAATGTCATTTGTAATTAGATTAAAGGGATTTACTTGACAACCTTCACTGACCTTCAGTTTTCTACAGATGAAATGGCTTTCTCTGGCTAAGGTTGTCACTCCAAATCTGGACTTTGTTTGAACGTTGTTATTTTGGGTCATTTTTATGAGGCCTCCATTAGCCTAACTCAGCCTTTTGCTCTTGCTTTATCTGTGCAGCATCCTAACGAAAGGTCAGCTTACAACTGCACGGTTGGGTCTGACAGTCATTACCTAGGCCATGTTACTTCTGACTGTGTTTCAGCGGATCTTTGGCTTCTACTCATGGAGACTCCGGCACTTGACGTTGATTTCTTTTCAGCCGTTGCTAGGATACGCCATCAGCATCCATTCATCCTTTAGAATTACAGGCAACTCCAGCTTTTCCTGACTTCTCAGTGTTGCAAAGCAGAAGCAATGTCGAAAGATTCCCATTCTGGTTTTGTGGAGGGTCATGTGGAATGTTGCTGGGGCCTCGGGGAGGGTAGGTGCTAGCTACACGACTCAAATATTGGGTAGGGTCTTCCTGCGCCTTTAGATTTAGATAAAATGGATTCAAACTCTCCCTGCTCCTTTCACATTTGAAGAAAGCCCAATAATCTAACCAAAGATTCAGGGAAGGGTACAGTTTATGTGCTTACAGATTAAGCTCTGGCTCCGGATTCCCATTTCTGCTGAACTAATATATTCAGAATTAGTCCATTCAATAGAATATATGCTCTCCATTGCTATTCTGCATCAACACAAATATGGAACTTAGCCCCTTCTCATACTTAACATCAAAAATTACAATAGATATTTTTGTGCCAGGCAGACTTTAAAAAGAGGATTTGGGGTGACCAATGGTCTTATTTTTGAAAAAGATTATCAATCTCAAAATTAATATCAGGTATTTGTAAATGTCCTCCTCCACTCCGCTGTGTTGCTTTGCTTCTCCTCTCTTCCCTCTCTTTCCTGTTATTTCCTGCTCTGTAAGAAAAAAAAAAAGGAAAAGGAGTTCTCACTTACATAATACAGGGCAATTCAGTTTTCATCTATCCTATGTCCAATACTCTTTGCATATCTCAGGATTTTGCTTTGTCCTAACAGCGTGTAAGGGCCCAGGTTATCAAAGAGTGTGTTTGGGTTCCTTCTGTCTCACACCAGCATTCTGGGGGTTGCTGTGCTAAGTGCTCTGTAAAGCTCTGTGCTGAGTGCTTTCCATGTATATCTCATTCAATTCTCAAAACCCCACTGTGAGGCAGGTGCTGTTCGTGTCCACCTCACAAATGACGGGACAGAGTTATAGAAAGGGAAATGGCTGTGCCCAGGGACTCTCAGCTAGTGGATTTTGAATTTAAGTTCCAGTGTAGTCTAGCAACCACTAGAAAGAACCCCAAGCCAGGTGATTTGGACATGATGGCCTCCTGGAGCTGCCTATAGCCCTGGACTGCCCACCTTTGAACTACTTGCAGGTTCTCAGCAAAAATGAGTATCAAGTCTCTATCTTAAGCTATATTATTTCTCATCTCTTTTACTAGCAGCTGAACAGAATTCCTAACCTATCCCTAATGAGGAATCCCTAACAGAATTCCTAACCTATACTGGGGTTAAAAAAATAAACCAGTTGTCAATATTTAAAAATTGGGGGATTATACATAATAATCTAGATTTCTGCCTTCTCTTGAAAAATAAACCTTCCAACACGGGACCTATATTACCCTTGGCAACAATCCACTACAGCTTGACAACTAGTGGATAACTCATTTATATTACTTAATAGGCTTTGCCACTTTGTGTCCCCCAGTCCAGTAGGTTGGTGAGCAGAAAGGAGAGGTACTAGGGGACTGAGACAGAAGGTTGATGCGTCCATCTCCTTCCCTACTTGGGAAAAGCCCTATGATGGGATACTTGCATTTCTAGACCCTGGAGTCTGTTGAGAGGGAGTTTCTTTGTCTCTTTGCTCAGAACCGAAGAAGAGGGGAGTGATCTCTAACGTATCTGGAGCATGATGGCTGCAAAAAAGGTGGCCACTAACGAGGGCTGTAGAGGGGGGCCAGTGCTGGAGAAGGTGGTTGAAGCAGTGGACGGCACCTGAAACCCCGGCATGAGTGCTCAAGGAGCCCCTGAGGTCCAGCAGTGACAGCATTCCCTCCAATACCAAATGCACCCCACCTAGCGGGGACTGGAAGGGTCTAGGGATCATGAGATGAAAAATTCCACAAGGGTTTGAAGGGGAAGGTGACTGACCCCTTACTAGAGTATGAGAATCTAGACTCTTGAGACATCACTCCTGGGAGCAAGAAAACTTCACCTCCGGACCTAGAAACACTAAAATGCCCCATGTGGCTGGGACTAGGACTATTCTCCTACAATGGAATCTCACTTAGATGTTAACTGAATCCAAGTAAGGGAACAGCCAGTCAGCCTTGGGATTCCCCAGAGTTTCCTTTGCTGCTCTAATTGGTGCTGTGTTTATTCATTCACTCATTTATACGTGCATGTATGCATTTCTTCCCCTACCTCATTCCACAGAGGATATGTGGCTGCTTACAAGAAGAATACCGAAATTTTTAAAGAATAAAATATAAGTACAATTAGAGATCTACAGATGTAGTGGGTATAACTTTTTAATTAAAAATATCTCTGCTGTGTCTTTTTTTTTTTTTAAGATTTTATTTATTTATTTGACAGAGAGAGAGTGAGCACAAGTAGGCAGAGTGGTAGGCAGAGGGAGAGGAGAAGCAGGCTCCCCGCTGAGCAGGGAGCCCAATGCGGGGCTCAGTCCCAGGACCCTGGGATCATGACCTAAGCCGAAGGCAGACGCTTAACCGACTGAGCCACCCAGGCACCCCTGCTGTGTTTTTCTTATTACAAAAGTAATAAATGGGTATTGTAGAAAATTTAGACAATATAAACAAGAAGAAAAAGATTCAAAAAGAATATTCATAAAAAATTTTTTAAATTTTAAAAATTAAAAAAAGAATATTCATTATTATCCCACCACCTGGAGAAAACCACTAGAAACACCTTATAGGATATCTTCTCATTCTTTCTGTGCAAAAATGTAAATATTTTAGTATTTTATAAAAGTGCAATTATAACCTCCAGATTATTTTGTAAATTGTTTTTTTTACTCAACAATATATTGTGAGCATTATGCAAACATATTTTCATCTACAGCATCATTTTAAATGAATGAATAGAATTCCATTGTAGAGATATATCATAATTTATTTAAACAATTACCTGATTACCAGGCAAACTTTGAAATCTACTGCTATATTCTAACATACCAGTTGGAAACTTTTATTTCAGATAAATATATTGGCTCTCTCAGCCTGCCGGACCCCTGGCATGAATCAAGGACAAATAGCTCAGGAGGTAAGAAAAAATTTATTGAATAATCATGCTACCAAAACTATTTTACTATTCTCTTCTAAGCACAAAAGAATGATTGTTCTCATTATTTTCTATCTTCCATGTTATGTGACTTGCTAGAGTTTTGAACTGGGCTACCCTAACATTATCAATTATATCTCTAACTTGGGAAATTCTTCAGGGAATGAACAGTGATCCATCTTCCTATGGCTTACCTGAACCAAAGTGACATGCAGAATGTTAATAGAGTGCTGCGTTTCAGGAAGCAACCATCCTTGATAATAAATAAAGCAAGAACTTAACAGAACATTAACTCACTCTTTAGGGTGTGCCCCATGAGTCCTTCCAAGAACACTGGGTAAAGTATAGGTATCGAGATCCATCTTCAGAGATTATTCATGTGAGTTGTTTTCCTGTGTCTCATTTCATTTGATGGAACAGCTGCTGACCAGCTGAGCATGGCCACAATCATACCATGGGAGCCTTCTTTCCAGTCATCCTTTCCCATGCACACTCTCTCTCTCTCTTTTTTTTTTTTTAAGCAAAAGCCACTTCCAAGAGAGAAACTTTCACTCTTTGCCTTTCTCTTTGATTTAGAGTATACATTACGTACATTTCACCTTTCCCTGTACATCTGATACTCAGCGACCGATTGTTGGCTATCCAGCCATTATTCCCCTTCCTTCATAATGATAATGATATCCTATTTATCTTAGGAAACCATCACTCCCACCATTTTCAGCCATCAGGAGTTTATATGAGGGACTCCACAGCCACCTCAGATTAGAACCTGATTTCCCTTCCTCCAGACACAGTGATTGGTTCAAAGTTGGTCACAGGACCGAACCTAGTCCAATCAGAAGTCCCTTGACAGGGCTTCTGGGACAGAGAGTCCTTTTTTTCCTATCTGATGGTACAGTAGTCCCCCCTCTTATCACTTTCCGAGGTTTCGGTTACCCAGACTGTGGTCTGGAAGCAGATGATCCTCCTTCTGATGGATTGTTAGAAGGTCAGGAGTAACCTCATGCTGTGTCCCAGCCGACGTCATTTCCCTCCCTTCATCTCATCATGTAGGCATTTTATCATCTCACATCATCCCAAGAAGAAGGGTGAGTACAGAACAGTAAGATATTTTGAGAGAGAGAGGGACCATACTCACATAGCTCTTATTACAGTATATTGTTATAACTGTTCTATTTTATTGTTGATTATTTTTGTTAATCTCTTACGGTGCCTAATTTATAAGTCAGACTTTATCACAGGTGTGTATGTTTAGGGAAAAACATAGTATATATAGGGTTCAGTACTATCTGCAGTTTCAGGCATCCGCTGGCGTGTCTCCCCTCCAGATAAGAGGGGACTATGTAACGAGGAAGCATGCTCCCCGCCTGCCCCCCGTCCTAATGGTACCCATCTTGCAACAATGAGGAGAGCCAGCCTTAGGATGAAGAGAGTAGAAAGGGGCAGAAACTGAATCCTTTGAGTTGTTGGATCAGATCTTGCCAGAGTCCATTTTACATTTGTCCCTTTCAAATTATGTGAGCCAATAAATTCTTTTTCTGTCTAAGCCAGTTTGGGTTTTCTAATGCTTACGGCTGAAAGATCCCTAAACTAATTGATGCCATTTGTGAAGAAACTATAGCAGACTTCCCTCTCTTTCCTTTGACACCCTTCTTATTTACAAATTCCTTCTCCTCCGTAACCCATGGGTTTCCTGCCCATTAAGCCTCCACAGCTGCTTCTCATCACTGCCTTTCTGCACCTCTCCTCTTTTCCATAGGTCCCAAGCAACCAGCCAGCCTCCCTTTTTTTCCCAAGCCACCATCCCCTTCTCCCTGGGAGATCTTCTGTTTCCAGGAAGAACGAAGAAAAGGGACACGAGCCCTCCAGTTTCCTTCTTCTTTCCTTTCTTAGAAGGCAGGCACTCGGCATCTTTCTGACTTCAGGAGTTGTTGCTAACCACTGGGGGGAAACATTCAGGCAAACAAAATTGCAAACCTGGGGTGTTTCCGCGAGTTGCAGAAAGCACTTGCTGAAGGACCTAGTTCCTGGCTGGTTCCAGGGTTTCTCTCTCATATGACATTAGATAATTGTCCAAAACTGATTAGCTCAGGGTAATTCAAGCTCATGCCTTTGCTAGTTTTGGGGACATCTTAAGTTGCAACCTAAACTTGCTTCCTCATTTTTGCGGCAGGTATGGATTTCTAGGTCTCCTAAGAGGAGGAAAGCCCTTCCTACCTCATCCCCACACATGATTACGTTGGTTGTCAGGCCACTCTGCACCTACTTTATAGATACCTCATCTGCCCTTCTAAGACAGCTCTCCAACTCTGACCCTTGGAAATCCTACCCTACTGTAAATAACACCTACTGTTTATTCCTCAGCATTAAGTCTCTTCCTTCATGGTGAGAGTACCCCAGTTACCTTGCAGGAGCCACCTCCCCGCCGCATAGTCATGTAGTTTGCCCTTGGCTCCACAGGTGGGCTCTGATTAACTTGAACTAATCAGTAAAGCCCACACATCGGAGTACAGTGATTGGTTCAGGATGGGCGCGTGACCCCATTGAGGCCAAAGAGACATGAGGAAGTATTTGCTAAAGTTCTTTATCATGTCTTGCAACTTCACGGATGCCCTCTTGGCTTCAGACCCTGGAAGTCCTCCCTTCTTTCCGTATCCAGATCTCTCTGTCCTCCTCAATGTGCCTCTCTAATGCTCTCTCAAGATAGATATTAATGCGGGTTGTACTCAAACTAAAGTTTGGTTCCTTTATCTCTTGTTCTAAACCAGGGATAGCAAATTGGTTTTTTGTTTTGTTTTGTTTTGTTTTTAAAGATTTTATTTATTTACTTGACAGAGAGAGACACAGTGAGAGAGGGAACACAAGCAGGGGGAGTGGGAGAGGGAGAAGCAGGCTTCCTGCAGAGCAGGGAGCCCGATGCAGGGCTCGATCCCAGGACCCTGGGATCATGACCTGAGCCAAAGGCAGACGCTTAACCAACTGAGCCACTCAGGCGCCCCTGTTTTGTTTTGTTTCTGTTTTTTAAAAAAGATTTTATTTATTTATTTGTCAGAGAGAGAGAGAGAGAGAGCACAAGCAGGGGGAGTGGCAGGCAGAGGGAGAAGCAGGCTCCCCGCCAAGCAAGGAGCCCGATGCGGGACTTGATCCCAGGCCCCTGGGATCATGACCTGAGCCAAAGGCAGATGCTTAACCGACTGAGGCACCCAGGCGTCCTTGTGGGTCGACTCTGAGCCACCAGTATTCATTCTCTGGGATCTGTGCCGAGAAAGATTTTGAGGCTGCCTCTGGCTTCAGCAAGAAAGTGTATGATGATCACTTAGTGACGTCTGCCATGTTCGAGGAGTGGAGAGTGACCATGTACCTCATGTTTCTGATATCACTGTTCTAAGTCAAGGTCTGAGCCTAGCTCCTGTAGTAGTCACATGGCCTCCCAATGACTAAATGTGTCCTTTTCTGGTTCATGACTCTTACATGTACACCCAATAAGCTTTCCTTGTCTAAGGAACACATTGAGTTCTCAGTCCTTTTACAGACCTGAAGTGACTGACCTACTCCTAAGACAAATGATTTGCTCAGCACCCTTCCTGGCTTATATTATTTGCTCCTTCCATCTGCTCAAGTCTCTGATGGCTCATTCAAGTGTCCCAGTGGGGTTCCTCCCCCTTTTCCCCCAGCTACAGAGGTCATTTTAGAATGATAAATTTATAATATAAATCTAGCTAGGCACAAGTAGACATGATTTCTACCAAGAGAACATGTGGACTGTTGATCACACACCAACTCCCATCCATGACTAATGAAGTTTCATCCTTTTTATAGACCTATCCGAGCCAAACTTTATTCATGATTCTCTCCTCAAAACCACAGCACAGTCTTTTGCCACTGTAGAAATTCTGATCCCTAAACAAAATCCATTTGTACTGCTATTTGAGCCCTGCAAATGCCTTAGTATATTTATCCTGTCTTTAATGGGATAACTTTATGTCCTGTGATTATAAACTACTTCTTATATGGGTATCCAGTATAGTGTATGATCAGTGCCAAACTTCAGTTAATATCTCAGCTCAGGGACAGATTTGTCTGAGGGCCCACTCACCTCTGTCAACAAGTTCTTGCTAGTGATTGGAACAGTGATGTAGCATTTGCAGAGGGGTGTCTCGTCTGTGGGCTCCTTACCTCATGGTCTGTGCTGTGGAAGTACAAGAGGCCCAGAGTCTTCTGTGAGGATTAGAGAATCCCCATCTCAAGATCCTTAATTCAATCACAGCTGCAGAGTCCGTTTTACCATATATGGTAGTAGGTTCCAGGGCTTGAGACACAACATCTTTTGAGGGGGCCATTATTCAGACTATCACAGACCTGTATCTATAGGGATCCTGCTGGGGCTCAAAAGTGATGAGCTTGGCATTACGTCACTTTCTTGTCCCACATTGTACCTGTTGGAAATACGATAATGCTGCATACAGCCCACGCAATTTAATGAAAATTTTGGAACATAAATCACGGCCCTCTCAGTAGTAGACCAGTAATGGTTTTGCCACTTGGGATCCGTGTCTCCCTCTCACTATGGCCAGACTGGGTCCGTCTCTAGCTCTGCCACTTACTAACTAGGTGACCTGGGGGAATGTCCTTAAACTCAGTGTCTCAGGTTTTTATAGGTAAAGTAAGGAGATACAGGTACCTCCAGCACATGATTGTTATGAGGATTAATTGAGATAGTGTGTATAAAGTGGTTTTTCTTGTTTGTTAAAGATTTTATTTATTTATTTATTTATTTGAGAGAGAGGTTTGTTTTTTTTTTTAAAGATTTTATTTATTTATTTATTTGAGAGAGAGAGAGAGAGAAACAGCATGAGAGGGGAGAGGGTCAGAGGGAGAAGCAGACTCCCCACCGAGCAGGGAGCCCGACGCGGGACTCGATCCCGGGACTCCAGGATCACGACCTGAGCCGAAGGCAGTCGTTTAACCGACTGAGCCACCCA